ATGTACTATACACAGGCTCAGTGGGCTTATTGGCAGTACTGTGACTCTTACTGCCATGGATTTTTCATTACTAATAGCATTTAAAATCTTACCCTGTGATCAAATTTTTTAAAAAGTGCATGTATTCATCTTTGCTTTCTAGTCACATACAGTGATGGGAGGTATTTCTAATGCTGTATTCACTCCCTTGGTGTAAAATGTGCCCTTTTTCCACCTTTACATTAAATCAGACAAATATTTGGTGAAACTCACGGGGTGAAATAGTGCTAAAAATGCCAATTTCTCAGTAGGTAGCTGAAAACATTTGTGAACAGAGCACCAGCATAATCAACTCCAATACAGCATGCAGGCTCTGCTAGCATAACGCTTCTCAAAAATAAACATGTGTAAAATAAGGAGAAAAGTATGTCATTTTATAAATTTGTGATATACAAATAAAAATCTTTGTGAAACAATTTAAGAGCAGCATTATAGAAAAATCTGTCTGGGATTTGCCTAATTGCCTGTAGACAGGCTGCAATATAGACACCTGCCTCTGAACGAATCACTCTCTGGTCCTTTTGTGGTCAACAGAGAAACACTGGCACTTGGGAGAGTGATTTATCTCTTCCTAAAGTACATGTCTAAGAAAGGTCAAATGAATTGCATCCTAAAAGTGCTTATTTCTCCTGGCTGACCATAAAGGTTGAAGAGAGACTAACTCAGATGTAAATTAATACACTGTAGACATACAAGCCTGAGGGTTGGTGAAGGGGGGGATGCTGAAGTGCACCCCTATTCTTCCATTTGCCACTGTGGAAGGGTCTAAGAATACAGACAGATAACTCCTCCTCCCCAGACATAGATTTCCACAGTTTCATCAGATGAGAGATTTTTGGTTGAAGGAGTTTTGCCATACATCACCAGGAAGAGTATTGTATGCCCAGACCTGCCCCACAATATCCTGTCAGACAGACAAACTTCTTCTGCAGGTGCTGCTGCAAAGAAGTTTTGGATCCCAGCAGTCCCAGCAAGTAAGCCTGATTTATAGTAATGGTTAATCCTTCTTGGAGTCAGAAGCAGCTTGACTGGATCCCAATTACTGCTTAACAAGGTATGTCTTGTCAAAACAGTTTTGAGGCCAGCTCCTGATGCAAGCTGATCTTTAAGTGCAACTGAAGATTGGCTTCAGTAGCACATCTTTGCTATGGCAAATTCTCTTTAAGACTTTTGGGGGGCTGACATGGGACCAACTTTCTGTTAGAAAACAGACTGAAATGTAAAAAGCAGCATAGTTATATGCATTACTATTATCCAAAATTATCAGTTATCTTTAGCTTCCCTATAGCTTATCCTTTAAAAAACCCATATAGTAATGAATTTTGCCTACATGTGATACCTTTGTTCTTCTTACTAAATGCTTCCAGGATGATCAGATTACAAATGATTTCTAATGAATGCTCACACATTTAATTGAAAAGAGAAACAATTGTGAGAATGCTGTTCTTGAAGTCACTGTGCTTGATTTCAGTATCCATGAGCTTGTATTTTCCATGTTTGATTGCAGAAACTTTGCCTAAAAAGCCCACTCTTGAAGTTCAGACCACCTTAGAAAAAGGCAATTTTTAAATGTTAAAGGAATCAAATACACCTTCATATCTGCTAGCATGTGGTCCTCCCATTATAAAATAATTAAAGAACTACAACTAGATCAGGCTGACAATCACTGCACCAAAACCAGTATGTACTATGGTCACATTACAAGCAACAAAGCTGAGCTTGGTGATTTATGATAATATCACTAAAACCTTGTGATATATTTAGCAAGTGGTAATGGTAAAGGTTATAATTCCTCTGAGGGACAATAGTGATGAAATAAACCACGAGGGTCAAGTGGATTATGACCTTGTGAAAACTCAAATAATGGAGATGGAGCTTTATAAACTTCCTTATAATAGATAATGCCTTAAACAATTTAAAACCTGCTCAGTACTCAATTTGGACTTGCCACAGGCTTACTACTGCCTATATATTATTAGAGGAAAACCTGAAAATTACTTCTGTCACTATGAATCTTGCATCTGCTCAGAACCCCCATTTTTAGGTGCAATGAGTGCTCTTGCTGTGCTTGGAATGCTCCCAACAGACAGTGTGTGTGCACTCATCTGTCAGCTCTCCCCACCCAGCATTTGCAGTGTGGCTGCTTACACAGAATTTAAAGCTTCCAAGGCATCCAGGATTGCTATGTTAGTAATCACACCTGGCAGTATTAATTTTGCTACTGTATAGTACTATCCTGGGATCAAAGAGTTTCTATGTGATCAAGTGATAGGCTGAGAAGAATGACACTGCTGATTGCTTTACATGCTTGGCAAAGGGAAAGATGTCACGTTTATCAGCACAGACAACACACCAGGTTCCTGCAGATCCTCTCTACAGAGTTACCTGAGACACCCAACTTTAGAACACAGTTTATACGGGAGCTGAGGAGCGCTGCATACGTGAATTCGTGCTGAGATTTAGGTGGAGGTGGAGCAACATCAAAGGCAAATGGTGACTATCCTGATCTACCTGAATACGTGATCCTACACAAACAGTGTGAAACCAGACTTTTATGGGATCAGTTCCATAAAAGACTACGACCATGACTCACTTGACCAAGGTCATTCGCATACATAATTTGGGCTCCTTCATCTTCATCCTTGCTGTAGTTTGCCTCCTGTGTGGCAACCCGCCTCACCAGAGCTAGTTTCTTATACCAAGATACAATACTGAACTAGCACATTTCTGGAGGAAGCTGCATGGATAAAGCAGCCATACTGAGGCATACATGTACAGATTTATAAATTAATGCACAAAAAAATTCCTCTGCCATGGAGGAAACCTGAGACCATGCTATCTCAGCTTTAAAGACATGAAGGAGGAAGGAAGACAAGGAGACAACACAATGCTTACCCATTTGTATAACAGCAATGACAATGGCAGGCCTGGGAGGGCATCAGTCTGAAAGCACACGGGACAATCAGCTGCCATTGAGAGAGAGATTTTCGATTGATTTTAAATTAAGGTCACTGTCCCCAGGCCACAGCTAGATTTGATTATTTCTGTCACATTTTAGAAGAGTGACAGAAACTTCTTTGCAACCAGTGTTCTCTCTCTTCAGTGACTCAATGCATAATGATGCTTTTTTCAGTGGGTTTTGATGATTCCAACTTCCAGGATATGCCACACGTTGGTTCAGCAGTGACATTCTCCCACTGAAAGCCAGTCATCCCTTTTACTACTCAAATCTATGCAGTAAGGGCATTAGGAAAGCTGTGGGCAGCACAAAACTAACACAGGTGTGACATTAAATCTGAGAGGTGTATTCACTGCTGGCAGGTGACAGTGACTATCAACACACACCGAGGGGAAAGGGCAAAAACACAGAGCAAGCCCAGCCATGAGCCATTTGTCACGGAGGGACCTTTCTGAGCAAGCTGTGATTTGGTTGCTCTCTGTGGATTTCTCTCCTGTTAATTAATTCATTTTCCCCTCAAAATGACATTAACTGGCTGCTGTCGGATGGCAAAGGGCTCCACAGCTGTGTTTGCATGAAGAATCACCCCTGTACAGACAGGTGGTCTGTTAATGGCCTCTCCTTTTGTGCTGGAAGCCAGGACCACCAGCTCCTGCTCACCCTCTCCACACTGCTGGAGATCTGAGGAACCTCTGTCACATCTCCCCTCTGGTGCCTCTTGCCAGTGTGCATGTACCTAACTAGGAAACGCTTTCAAGCCATGGATCATCACTGCTGGCTTCCTCTGAATCTTTTACAGCTCTGCTATGTCCTTTTTGAGAAGGTGAGACTGGAATTCCAGCAGTATTGAGAGCACAGGTCCAGCACACATTTTCCAGTGTAAAATCTTTCCCTCTTCGTTGCTCTCCTAACAACTCCTGACATTTGAGTCACTCTTTTGGCCACACTGAGCATGAAGCTGACATTTTCTCAGCTGTGCATGTCCCTGGGCTGTCAACCTAGGGAAAGTGATGGCCAAAATCCTTCCATGATGATGGGCAAGAAATAAATGACCAACTGCAACTGTACAGTTGTGCTGTCTGGAAAAAAAAAAAAAAAAGAACGAAACAAACCACCTTGGAATAACAGTAGTGGATTTTAAATCCCAAGATGCTACAAAATTCCCTCTCAGGCAGCTTGACCTAAATTCCTATGGGCAATGAGGAAGCCACATATTTGGAGCATTTGACAGAAAACCAGACAAATGCCCATAAATTATTGTATGGGGGACATTCCTACTCTCTTTTGGAAGATGGATTAGGCAGATGACCTACTAAGTTTTTTTTTTCTTCTTTCACTAATTCCTACGATGCCATGAGTGTGTGTGCTTTACCCTTTCTTAAATCATAATCTGATTGATCCAGCACCAGTCAAAGGTTTTGAAAAGCCCATTAAACCGCAAGAGGAAATCTTGAGCGGTTTGCTAATATCAACAGAAATCCAGATGGAATTACAATCATCTTTTATGTACATTCGAGGGCATATTATGTAATACTAGCCATGGATTTAGTTTAATGCACCGCACCTTCCAATAAGCTGCCGGCGACACTTAACAGCGATTTGAAACCTACAAAAAACTCCTTTGCCCTTGACAAAACCTTTCTAAAGCCCAGAGACGGGGATCAAGAGGCTTGGGATATTCAGAGTCTGATGGGAAAACGGGGACAAGCGAAAGCGAGGACGGAAAAGACGAGGGGGGCGGGCGAGAGGAGGAATTAAAAAGGGCAAAGAGGTGGAGGGGGGAAAAAGAAAAACAGGAAGTCAGAATCGTGGTCAATCCCAGATAAACGCAGAGGAGACAAGGTCAAAACTTCAAGCAAGCAAGCAGCAGAAACCCCACGAGGTTCATGAGGCAGGACGCCGCTGCCCGCCGCAGCACCCCCGGCGGGGCCGGGCCCGGCTCCCTCACGCGGCGGGCGGGGGGCGGCGCGGCGGGCGTGGCNCCGGCCCGCCCGGCGCGGGGGGAGCGGGACGCGGTACCGGGCAGGGCAGGGCGGCGCGTCCCCGGCGGCGGCGGCCGCGCTTGACAGAGCGGGCGGCGGCTGCGGCCCCATGGAGCCCAGCTAGGGCTGCCGCACCCTCCGCCGGAGGTAGGTGCCGCGGGGCGGATGCGCGCCGACAGCGCAGCGCGGGTGGAGCGGTGACAGGTTGGCCGGGCGGCGGCGTTTTGCGGGAATCCCACCCCCCCCAAGCCTTCTTCCCACCGGCGGCCGGGCGCTGCGGTACCGTGGGGAGGGCGGCGGCCCCGCGGTCCCCGCTTCGGCCCGTGACTATTGTTTCTGGTGGCGCCGAGCGGGCGCAGAGATCCCGGCGGCGGCGGCGGCGGCTTTGTGCGGGTTGTCCCGGCGGTGGGGCTGCGGCGGTGGGGGGGTGCGCAGGGACCCGGCGGGGAGAGGGACGGGGCGAGACCGTGACCGCACCAGCAGAGCCACCCCCCCCACCCCCGCCCTTCCTCCTCCTTCTCCTCCTCCTGCTTGCGCAACTTCTCCAAAATCGCGGCCGTGGGTGCGCGGGGAGGAGCGGCGCTTGCCGCGGCCCCGCGTCGCCCCCCGCGCGCGGCACGGCACGGCACGGCACGGCCGCGGCGGCGATCCGCGCCCGGTCCGCGCTCCGGGGAAGGGAGATCAGCAGCGTGTAGGGTGGATTTCAAGATGGGCGGTAATGGGATGGTTTGGGGTCCCTCGCGTCGCCGGTCACAGGCGAGAAACAGGAGGAGAATTTACCCTTCCGAAGTTGGGGCAGAAATTCCTCCCGCTGTCGCCCGGCGGATGGACTGTCACCTGCGGCTCCCTTGAAGGCTTTTTCTGGATGAGGCTGTCGCGGGGCGTGGGTCATCCGCGCCGGCGGCGCAGCGCTCCGGGCGTACGTGGCGGTGGATGCCAGGGTGAAGTGTCGTGCTCCAGAAGTTCTGCATCCCTCCGGGGGGATGCTGCAGGGTGCAAGCGCCCTGGGCAGGAGATGCACGGCAGTCGTTCTCCTTTCATTTCGCCCCCAATACACCTCTTTTTTTGAAAGATTGGTTCGGCTTTGGTTTATTTACCGCTGTTGATGGTAGTTTTCTTGCACGTTCTCCATCAGAATTATTTTTCTAAAGAGAAAAATTATTCTAATGCGGGATCCAAAGTGTATGTATTGTCTAATGGGGGTGTATTGTTAAAAAGGAAAGAGTATCTGTTTGCCCATTAATTCTTCAGGTATTTTCCGTTTAAACTTGATGAGGAAATGTTTTTCCTTTTTCTAAGTAACCTTTCATGTCATTTATCATTAGCAAATCGGCTTAGCATTCAAAGTAAAGATTTCCTCACAAATACGCTAGTGATTACTAATGTTATGTCTGAAACACTCCATAGGACAGAAATCAGCACACCTCCGTTTTTTTTTAATATGTAAATTTGAAAAGCCTTTCCTTCCATTTCATGACGCTGTGAGTGGCCCCGGTTAATCAGGTGTAACTACAGTAACTGGCAGAGGAGGCTGCTGATAGGCAGGGTGGTTTCCTGCACCACTCTGCTGGAGCAACCTGATCAATTAATGCATCCTCACTATTTTGTCCTTGGCATCTTTGATGAATTTTGTAGTATTTCTGTGAGGAGCTCCAGTAGGGGAAGCTGAAGTCTCTTTCACCTCCAGAGATGACTGAAGCCACATTTGAAGAGGGGATAACTCTTTGAGTTGACTGGAGAGTGCTGCTGAGTTCCTGCGTATATACTAAATTCTGGAGGCAATCCAGCAGCCAGAGCTATCTGGGTCAGGCTGGAAATCAGCTCAGTGATGGGTTTTGCAGGGTCCTGGTCACTTCCTACCAAAAAAAAAACCCAAAAAAACAACAAAACCCAAAAAAACCCAAGCAAAAGCAAGTGTTAAGCTTTTGCAATGTGCACGGATTGCATTGTAGGCATGGACTGGAGAATGGAGCTGGTTGTGTGGGGGGCTTGGCATGTGCAATCAGCAGGTCACACTGAGCACCCTGCAACTTCAGGATGCTGGAGTTCACTGTGCAGAGCCTGCAGCAGTATGAATTACAGGGGGGAAAATGCATTTAGATGTAACAAAGGCTGCTGGCTCATCTCCTGCATGAGGAACTAATTTTTTTTTTTTTTAATCTGGCTCCCGTTTCTGCCTCTGACTCAAACTGCCAGTGTAGCTGTGGGCAAATCATTCCATGTTTCCCTCTGAAACATGCCTGACCTGCCAAGGTCTCATCTGTACAGGGCTGTCTGTTCAGATCCCAGCTCAAACCCCTTACTTTCCACCAGCTGCCTTGCACAGAGCAGTCTGAAACCCAGGGTAGGTGGTACCTCTCTGCTCCAAGGGGATGCAGTCTGACATTCAAATACTGCTGCTGCTACAGATGTAGCAGCCTCACAGCAACTCATCAATCTCTAATCCTGCCCCTCTTCTAATCCAGTCATTCTCTACTGCTGATGGAATTGCCTGGTGTCCTTTGATCTGGGTTTGGCTGCGTGCTGCCCGTCATGTCAGCGAGCCTCCAGCAAGGGAAGCAGTGGCACTGGAGATGGGCTGAGCATCGCCAGCTCCTCGGGACACAGACTGGCACTTGAGGCTACAAAACGCGTGGCACGAGAGGCCCGGTGTGATTTAGAAACAGAAATTATAGCTAAAGGGTAAATTTCAACAATGTCCCAGAAAAATGACCAGAAAATGGAAGCTCGGGCACTCCTGTGCAGCCAGCTGCGTGCTGGTCGGCAGGGAACGGAGGTGGAAGGGTGCAGCTCCCTCGTGTAACAACGGCATTCTTATTTTAGCATGGAAGACAGCCAGAGATAAGGAGTGGTTGTCATCCGGCTGGTTGGAGGATGGAAAAAAAAAAAAAAAAAGGAAAAGCTGTGTGGAAAAGTATTTTGATGTAGGTACTAAAGGAAAAAAAAAAAGCAGATAACCTTACAAGTGATGGACTAGCTATGTAAAGCTGCCAGGACAAAGCTTTTCCCATAAAATCCAGAATGATCCTAATTAAGCCCAGACCCTGTTAAATGACACGTGGCTTTATTTATTTCAGATGTTTCTAGGTCCCAAAGATGGGGCCAAATGTGAAGAGTTTGATGTGGCAGATAGTTTAACCTCAATTACTTTTACATAAATCATGTGATTGTTACAGTAGCTCAAGTACCTCTGATGGGTGCCCCAGACCTACTGATAAAAAAAAAAAAAAGATATTTTTAAAAATCCCCTGAAAAATCCATGGCAGTGCAGGTGAGGGTTTGTGGAAGAGAGGTGGCCATCCTCTCTGCAGGCAGGAGGATGGGGTGTGGGAGCTGTTGTGGTGCTGTGTGCTTGCTGGTCTGTATGCACAGGCAGCTGAAATGGTGGCTTTGTAGAACAGGCAGCCAGAGAAAGGGACGTAAAATGGGAGCTGACAAATATTCTTGTTATGAAACTGGGATGGATGAATGATTTATGGGGGTACTTGCTTTTATTTTATTTTATTTCAAGAGGAGGGAGATGGTTGGTGATGTGAGGCTCTAGCCACGGATGGCTTTGTTTTGAGATCAGGCTGTGCTGGGTCCTGCCTCCAGAAACAGCATCTACAGAATAACAATACAGTGAAACACTTCCCAGCATTGCTTGAGTTTCACAGTCTGTTTTCAGGATGAAAAAGTTTTCCTTGTGTTCAAAGCTGTAGGCCTAAATCCTCCCAGCAGACTCTAGATTTCAAAAAGGAGGTGGTTGCGTGAGAGGTCCCAGGCTGCGTGGATCTTTGTTAGCCTGTCTCAGTTCTCCTAGGGAATTTCCTTTCCTGGGTTTGCCCGTCCCTCCCAGGGCACTGAGCTACTCTGTAAATAGGCCACTCTGTGGAGGAGCTGCTCTGCTGGGTGATTTAATGTAGCTTGTTAGTTCTGGCTCCTTTTTTCCCACCCCCACCCAGTTCTGTCCATGCTGTCCTTTGGTGTACAGAGCAGTGCTGTGACATGGATGTGGTGAGTTTACAGGGTCACAGCTGCAGGATGCCTGCGTGTCCTGGGGACCCTTATGTAAGCTGCAGCTCCACAGTCAATTGCTGGCTTTGGGTGTTAGTGACTGGATCCCTCTGAGCAGGACCTGTTTCCAGCATCCTTTTGTATCTCATAGTTAACAGAATCATGGAATAGTTGGATTAGAAGGGACCTTACAGGTCATCTAGTCCAACCCCCCTGCAGTAAGCAGGGACATCTTCAACTAGATTAGGTTGCTCAGAGCCCTGTCCAGCCTGACTTTGAATGTTTCCAGGCATAGGTCATTTGCCACCTCTCTGGGCAAGTTGCAGTGTCTCCCCACTCTCCCAGAAAAAAATTCTTCCTTATGTCCAGTTTAAATTGACCCTAGTTTAAAACCATTACCCCTTGTCCTGTTGCAACAGGCACTGCTAAAATCTACATCTACAACAGGCCCTGCTACATCTGTCCCTGTAGTCTGTCCTGGTGGTCCTTGTTAGGTATTGGAAGATGCTGTAAGGTTTTCCTGGAGCTTTCTCTTCTCCAGGATGAGCAGGCACAGCTGTCTGTGCTGAGGACCCAGAGCTGGATGCAGTATTCCAGGCGGGGTCTCACAAGAGTGGAGGGTGCCCTTGATCCCACTGTTTGTGTCATTGACGAAATTATTAAAGGATACCAGGCCCAGTATGGCCCTGAGAGGGACACCACTCATCACTGGTCCCAATTTGCACATGTAGTTGCTTGGAAATGCTTCTTTAATATATCAGAGGGCTAAATGTTCTTGAGAATTAAACAAAGAGTCTGGGGTAGGTCTCCTGTTTCCTCCATGCTCTTCAGAAAAAAGGTGTCCTTCAGCTTAGCAGCTTCCAGGTCTCTGTATTGCTCCCACTCCCTGTAGAGTGGCCAGAGAGCAGCCACTGTAGCAGGAAGAAGGCAGCTGCTGTTGACTTGGGGGACAAGCTGGGTGTGGGTTTGGGTCCCCCCACCTCCCCCATGGCAGGCACAGAGATGTCAGAGCAGGCCTTGGGACTGACTGGCTGTGTCCCCAGATGTTTTCTCTTTGTGCTATCTTTGAGCTGATGACTGGGGTGAGCTCTGATTGACAGGAGAGCTGAGGGAAGTTTGCTGTGACTCCTCACTTCAGTGGGGCTGCTAAG